CCCCAAAACCCCAAAACCCCAGTTTCCAACATATTAATATTTAAAGTAAAATTTATGAGCTCAATTAAAATAGTTAAATTTTTTGTTTAAATCATATGAGTATGAGTCAAATGTATGATAAATCATTTTTCTTCCTTTATTTGCATATTATTTGTAATTTGATTCAAGTTAACTATTATTTCTCTAATTTCAACAAATTTTTTGTCCTAATCTCTCTGAACATCAATGAGTTTATAAACTTTTTCAGCCTCTTCTTTATTTATTCTCAAATGTTTTAGACTAGATTCCTTTCTTCTAGAGTGTAAATGATTATACTTGGAATCGATAACTTTGACTATTTAGTAATTTTTCAAATTTATTAATGATATTCTCTGATTATCCTTCACAAATGCGATTGGGTTTAATTCATAATCATAGTCTTCTAATTTAAAAATATAAGGATTTCCTTATAGTTTGATACAGTGAATTTATTTCTTTTTCCTACTTTCAAATATCTTCAATGAATGATCAGGATTTCCAGTAGTATAAGCAATAGTAAAAGATTCCTTAGAGCTCTCACCAAACATATTTTTCTTGATAATATATTAGGATTTTACAAGCATAATAGATATTATTTCCTCTTTTTCTTTTAAACTTTTTTAATCGATCAATTGGTAGTCATAATCACTCTTCTTAACAAATTTTATAATCGTCATACCCTTAGGATGAAGGCTATTATCATCAGCAAGAACTAGGGAATATTCATTTTAATCCCTCTTAACCAAGTATATTTCATTTATGTGTTATAGCTTATTTATTTTAAATGTCTGAGAGTATTACTGATTTTGAATACTCAAAAATGTGATCTATCCTCCATTTTAGCCACAGATGAATATATCATCATTTAGCTATACCATTTTATAAACAGTATAACCACCAGTACTATAATGAAATTTTGATTGTAATTATCTATTTTCTTATTCAGCAATCACATTAATTTTATGATCTTAGTAAACAATTATTTTATTAGTTTAATTTAATTTCAAAAGACACTCTGTTTTAAAGTCTAAAATCTCGTTCAACTTAAAATCTTAATCAATAAGCCTACAGCTTAGACCATAGACATATTTACGAGTAATAATCTTATTATTGAATAGCTCAATTCCATCAAATAATTAATCATCTTTACCTTCCTCCTTATATTAGTTGACTACTTTATATGGAAAGTTATAATTATTCTAGATCAACTATTATGTTTGATTCATTGTTTAATCAATAATTTCTTCACTTAAGACTATTTATTCCTTAGTTTTTTGCTCAAACTAACTTTGCAAGCATATTAACTAAACTAGTTTTTCTATGATTTGATTTAAATCTATATTAATTATCTCGTTAAGAATGTCTAGTTATTATAACTAAGTATTCCCAGACATCAAAAGGACCGCTTAATTGTTTAATTACTCTTAC